CTTGCTCAGGCTGGTCTCGAACTCCTGAGCTCAAGCAATCCTCCCACCTTGGCCTCCCAGAGTGCTGGAATTACAGGTGTGAGCCACCGCACCCAGCCTGGAGGATCAGTCTTTAACAGCAAAAGTTATGATCCAGCACACGAGAAATGAACTTGCAGGATAGAGACAGGGATGGGTGTGGAATTTTGCTGGCAGGAGCAGGGCTTCAAGGAGAGGAGGGATTTAGAGAAAAGAGTCGTTCTGAATCTGAAAGTTCTTAAAATGAAGAGCAGGGTCTTAACTATGTGATAAGGGGCTTAGAATGAAGGACAGAGGGGGAGGAGCTTGGGATGGAATAGGAAGGGCTCATTCTGTGGGCAGGGCTTAACTTCTGAGAGCTTTTCCAGGCAGAACTTGGAAGAAGGGGAGGATGGGGCTTGGGATCTCCAGCAGACGCATACCTGGGGAGACCCGAGGTGCAGCAGGTACTCGAGGGTCTCTCTTAAGGTGCCCAACTCCTGTTCTAGGCCTCGGTACGTGTCCCAAACCCGCTCTCGCTCCTCAGGTCGCAGAAAGAGGAAGACACAAGTTTAGTGCTCTCACCCGGGATCTTTCACCATCCCATCTTTTCTCAGCAAGGAGGAAGGCAGACATGATCCCTGGGACCCTGGGGGTATATAAACTACAATTTCCACAGGCCTCTTTTCTGGGACTACTGTGAACCCAAAGTCTACACAGAACCTGTAATTCCAGTGCTGCTGGGGGAGACAACAGCATTCCCTGGATCCCCTGCATTACTTCTGCACTCCCTTAAAGCAGCAAAGTCTACAAATCTAAAACTTTGGGGGACAGTCAAGACCACAACACCTACACACTCCCGGGCAGCAGAATCTTCTTGTCCACAGTGTTACTACTATGATTGCCATCAGTAATAGTAATGACAGCAGCTAACACACACTGGGCACTTCCCATGTGCTGAGCACTGTTTTCGGCACTCATTTAATACCTGTGGAGTAGTTTCTATTATTGTCTCCATGTTCCAGATGATACTGGTTATGGCTGATACTTAAATATTGCTTACCAAGTTCCAGGTACCTTAAGTGGTAAATATTCATTCGTTTACATATATTAATGTAATCCTCACAATGACCCTACCAAGTAAATATCATTATCTCAAGCTTACACAGGAGGCACCCAAGGCCCAGAGAGATCAATCAACTTTTCTAAGGCCACACAGCTACTACAAGGAGGATTCAAAGTCAGAAGGCCTGTTACCAAAATCGCCCTCTGAAACTT